AATGCTGCTTTATCAAAGGAGCTGAGGGATTTCAAATCTCGGCACTCTATTTGCGTTGAGCGTCCGGAATATGATCGGGTTTTGTCCGAGAACGATCAACTCCACTCGGACCGTGAGCGGCTTGCGGCCAAGGTCGGGCAACGTGATCTAAACCGGATTCATGACCTCAAGGAGATAGAATTCCTGAGGAGGGACTTGGAGCGGCAGGTCAGAGAGCGTGAATTGCAAGTTCGAGAGGAGGCAGAGCTTCACCGAAGGAGATCAGAGGAAGAGCTGGAGCGAACGTGGCGTCGTCGATCCGAGGAGGAAGCGAGGAAGGCGGCGGAAGAGGTCGAGCAGAGGTGGCGCCTCCAACATGAAGAAACGGAACGTCAACTTTCTCAGCGGGCCAACGAGCTAAACCTGACCCTTATGGAGGAGAGGCGTTCAGCTCGGAGTTCCCTTGATGAGGCCCGCCGCTCGCTCGAGAACGAGCGTCTCACATATGAGGGACATATGGCTCGGATGGAGGCTGATCGCATTTCAGACTATGGTCGGGGTTTCTATCGTGGAGGTTTGGAGGTCCAAGACCAATTTTATCGTGGACTGGAGCCTTACTCTGATGGACTAGATCCTTGGCTGAAGTTTGCAGGGGTCCCAAAACCCATGGGACCAGAGCCTTCTTTCCTTCGTTCTTCTCCCTCGCCTTGAATTTTCAAGTCACTATTGTACTTTGTTTAGGAACGGTCCTCATGTGCATTTGTATTGATTTTTTTTTTTACTTATCTCATGGACCGGAACAATTGATGATGAATGGGAAATTTCTTCTTCATATTAAGCACAGTACAATCCTTTCTCTTTGAACAAAAGGGGAAAAGAAAACTTTGAAAAAGAGGCTTGAAAAATTATGGGAGGACGGAACCTTGAACATGTAGCTTTTACTGGTAGAATTTTTTGAGATGCTCCACATTCCAGTAATTGTCCAATGCCTTCCCTTCCGATGTAGCCAACTGATAGGTGCCTGTACGCACCACCTTCTCCACACGGTACGGTCCTTCCCAATTCTGGGCTAATTTTCCTCCTTTAGTGGGTTGACTTTTCTCCCTTTTACGTAGGACCCAATCTCCTACTTCAAACGCCCGAAGTACAGTTTTTTTGTCGTGATACCTCTTGGATTGCCGTTGGTACTCCTCCGCCTTCATTGACGCGTCGTCCCTCCTTTCTTGAGTGAAATGGGAGTCCACTTCCATCAATTGCTCATTGAGGCTTGGAGTGTATGCTTCCACCCTTGTGCGAGGGACCAAGACCTCCGTAGGTACCTTTGCCTCAAAGCCATAAGCCAAGGCAAAGGGAGTCTCTCCTGTGGCTCTCCTTGGGGTAGTCCTATGGGCCCACAACACATAGGATAGCTCTTCTACCCAAGACGTGCCCAACTCGTGCAGTCTCTTTTTGATGCCGTCTACAATCGTCCTGTTGGTGTTTTCTACTTGCCCATTGCATTGCAGGTAAGCTACGGCGGCCCGACTGAGTTTAATTTTCCACGCATAACAGAATTCCTTGAAACTTGTGCTGGCAAATTGGGTGCCATTGTCCGTTATGATTTGCTCAGGAACACCAAATCTGCATAATAAATTTTTCCACACGAACTTACGGCAATTCTCCTTCGTGATCTTCACAAGGGCCTCTGCTTCGACCCACTTGGTGAAGTAATCTATCGCCACAATGGCAAATTTCTTCCTTCCAGCCCCTTGGACGAAGGGACCCACCAAGTCCAACCCCCATCTAGCAAAGGGGATGGCTGTAGTGACAGGGGTGTAAAAGGTGGATGGGCGTCCAGGGATTGGTGCAAATGCTTGGCAAGTTGGGCATTTCCTCACCAACTCCAGCGCATCCTTCTTCAAGGTGGGCCAATAGAACCCCTGGAGTATCACCTTTCTCGCTAGAGTAAGGGCACCTTGATGGGCAGAACTGACTCCTTGGTGTACTTCTTCCAATATTCTTCTTGCTTCTCTCTCACTCAAGCATTTGAGCATCGGCCCTCCCAAGGTCCTCTTATACAATTTTTCCCCATCCAATTGATATTTGAGAGCCATTAATTGAACTCTGCGAGCCTCCTTGGGGTCAACAGGGAGCTCTCCCTTTTCAAGGTATGTGATCAGGGGGCTCATCCAAGTTGTACCTGGACCGGATATCTCGAGGACAGGGACCGCCTCTTCCCAAACAGGACAGATCCTATCGCGCTGCCTTACCATACCCTCCATGTGGATGGGAATGGTCCTACATAATTTAGCAAGCATATCCGCCTCTTCATTCTCTTCTCTTGGGACATATATGAGCTCATAAGACTCAAATTGTCCAAGCAGAGTCCTGGCGCAGTCCCTGTACTTTTTCAACCTTCCTTCCTTGGCCTCCATTTCTCCTTTTAGCTGCCCGATGGCCAATTTTGAATCGGATTTAAGGCGAATGTGCTTTATCTTCATGAATAGGGCAATTTGGATTCCTCCAATGAGGGCCTCATATTCTGCTTCGTTGTTGGTGGCCCGAAATGTGAACTTAAAGGAATGATAAGCCTTGAAACCTTCAGAGGAGGTGAGGACCGCTCCTCCTCCTGAACCGTCTTTAGTGCAGGATCCATCTGAATGGACCTCCCATAATTCCCTTTTTCTCTCCTGACCGGTCCCATCCTCTTCTGGCTTCCCTCTTGCTGTGCACTCCACCATAAAATCTGCAATGACCTGGCCCTTCTTGCCAGAACGGGGCTGGTAAGAAATATCATATTGAGAGAGGACCATGGCCCACTTAATGACCCTTCCCGAAGAAGATGGGTCCCTCAAAACTGCTCCCAAAGGCTGGTCCGTCATGATTCTCACTGGGTGAGCTTGGAAATAGGGAGTCAACCTCTTGACAGTTACCACCACCGCCAAAACACATTTTTCCAAGGGAGTGTACCTTGTTTCCGGTCCTCTTAAGGCCCTGCTCGTGTAATAAACTGGCTTTTGGACTCCTTCTTCTTCCCTCAAGAGGA